TAAATCCAATAAGCTTTCTCCTACTATGACATTCTGCTCACTGGTACCCTACTACACTGTTAGGAAAATTTATTTTATACTTGAGATGTGCTGCTCCTATAGTGTGGAATAAATCAGTCTTTTTCTATAGGCTTTGCTCCCTGATGGCAGAACATTCATTTTGGTCTTCAAATCCCCATCTCCTGGTACAGTGCCTAGCATTCAATAAGTGCTTAATAAATGCTTATTGCTTGATAATGTTCTATGAATGGCTTCTTGCCCCTGTTAATTGTTCTTTTAAATATGGGGAAACTCTTCCTTAGAACCTTTTAGTCTCAGCAAAGGGGGAAAATAGTTTTGGCCCATCTAAAAATATACTGTGGGAGAAAACAGTCAGCCTGGGAAATCTGCTGCTATCCTGATGGGTAAGAGATCATAAAATAATATTCAGAACTGACATTTACAAAGTGAGTTCCCATTTGCAGAGTGTTTTACATATTGTCAACAAGCAATCACAACTTCCCAAAACTTACATGAAAACTAGGTTTATTATGAGAAAAAAGAACATGCATGTGGAACCCAAAGAGTTCTCAATTCATGCAGAAATTTGCATATTTATGACAGCAAGACAAAAGAAGGAGGAGATACCAGAATTTCCATCTAAAAGGTCATGGCTTGGGAAAAAATAGGGGAAAGATGCAGTAAAGGTGAGAAAAAGATAAAACTCCACCCAAAGGGGAGCAGCAAGGTAATAGTAAAAGCAACATTCTTTTTCCTTGAGAACTGCTAGACCAGAAGTTCCCAAATTTATATGTCCTACTGCCCCCTTTTAAAAAAAAAATACTGAGCACCCCCCTTGGAAATCTACTTTCCACAATCCTTTAATGATTAAAAAAAAAAGTGTCATTTCAAAAAAATGTAATTTCTTAAAAAAATTAGTGTATCTTAAATTTAATAATTTATTGTACATTTGTGGTTTTTTCCTGCATTGAAATTTTGATATCGCAATATTATGTCATGTAATCTTATATTATCATTTTGTAAACGAGTCACACACACAGGTTCCACAATTATTCTTATTTCCTCTTTACAGACGGGAAAATTGGAAACTCTTAGATGTTAGTGACATGTTTATGGTTATTTGAACAGTAAATATCTGAAGTAGAATTTGAATTCAGATCTTTCTGAGTCCAAATCCACCATTCTATCCATTACATCATTAAGGCAGTTAGATGGAGCAGTGGGTAGAGCCTGAAATTAGGAAGACCTGAGTTCAGTTCTAGCCTCATACACTTACTAGCTGTGTGACCCTGGGCAAGTCACTTAACCCCTGTTTACCTTAGTTTCCTCATCTGTAAAATGGGGATAATAAGAGTACCTTCCTCTCAAGATTGTTGTGAGGATCAAATGAGATATTATGTGTAGAGCACAATGACTGTCTTTGTAAATGCTAACATTGTTTATTGTTATTATGATGATACCTTACTACCTCTTGAAATGTTATTTAAATATGAATGGGAGATACAGAGACATGATGCTGGTTCCTGACTGTACATTCCTAACAGATGAACAGTGGGATTGGCCAGGTTGTGAGCTGCCAAACTCTTTTTGCTTTTGAGTTTCTGTTTTCAATGATCAATGGATCAGACATAGGGAAGGGTAATTGTCCCAACAATTGTGTCTTTGCAAAGGGTCAGCATGTTTGTAGATTCTAGACCTTCCATAGTGGTTTTCTGAGTGGATCTGAAATGAAGGAATCCAGGTCGCTGTGTACTCGGTGCAGGCTGGTAATGGGATAACACTGGTTCTAGAGGCAGGACCTTGGTTAAGATTCTGCCTCTTCTATTTGTTACCTGCAAAACCTTGATCTAGTCCCTTCAGCACTTTAGGTCCCAGTTTACTCACCTGCACAGTAGAGGGCTTGGCCTGGGTAGCTTCTAGGGTCCCTTTCAGCTCTACTTCTGTGACCGACACAGAAGGCCTGAACGAGTCTGTCACCTCCATGGAGACATGGAGACGTGCAGCTCATCCATCACATCAGAAGTTTTTCGCAGTTCCCTGCCTCCTGCCAGAGTGAGTTGGACACAACAGATCCCATAGAGGTCACTGCCAGGATTTTTCCATCCCACTCTCCTTGGAAGCAGAATTTTGACTGCTTCAGCAGGTGATATTCTACATACCAACATACACACAGTTGATAACAGTGCGGCTTATAATAGAACTCAGGGTAGGAAACTGAGGCAGTGACTAGCTACACCAATATGGCCCTGTCATTTCAGTGCAGACAGGAATGATCCAGAGACCTAATTATTTCCCAGTGATGTTTTTTCATTATTAAATTTTACTTTTAATTTAGGGAATAAAACAAGACGTAGTACAATAAAAAAAATGATCACACATGAAATTGTAAATCTGCTGTGCCCAGGGGCAGCTAGGTGGCGCAGTGGATAGAGTACCTACCTTGGAGTCAGGAGGACCTGAGTTCAAATCAGACGTTAGACACTTGACACTTCCTAGCTGTGAGACCCTGGGCAAGTCACTTAACCGCATTTGCCTCACCAAAAAGCAAAAAAAAAAAAAAAATCTGCTATGCACAACTGGCTACTGCTTTCACATATACAACAAAACTATCATGTAAATTTCTTTTTTCCTTCCCTTTCTTCTCCCTCCCAGCTCTAGAGATCGCTACCATTAGACACAAATAAGGGTATGTACGTATGTATGTGTGTGTGTATACATACATACGTATATATATAAAATGATTCTATACATACTTCTATTTATCAATTGTTTCTCTGGATTCAGATAGCGTCTTTCTTTATATGTCCTTTATAGTTAATTTTGGTATTTATCATAGCCAAAATAACTTATTCATTCAAAGTCATTCTTAAAACAATATTGCTGTTACTTTATACAATGTTCTCCTCACATATTCTCTATAGACATGTAAACTTAACATTCAATAAATTTCACTAGCCTTGTAACTCTCCTTCGTAAGGTAGTTCAAGCACCTTACTTTTCAAGCCTGGGTTCTGTGCCTGGCTACTATAGATAGCTAAGTGAATGAAAAGAGCTTCATTATAGGAGGTGAATAGAGATCAGGGCAGCCCAGTTTGTGCCCCCAAGTTACATAATAACAAACACGGCCTGGGAAAGTCTAGAAGCTCCATAGTTACTGGTTAGACTAAGGGAAATCACAACCTTTAATGTATTAAGATAGAAACTGATCATAGGGACCTAGAGAATGGGATTTAAAGCTTGTTATCTTAGGGCAGCTAGATCTCAGAGTGGATGAAGTGCTGCAGTCAGGAAGACTCATCTTCCTGAGTTCAAATCCAGCCTCAGACAATTACTAGCTGTGTGACCCTGGAGAAGTCACTTAACCCTTCTGGCCTCAGTTTCCTCATCTGTAAAATGAGCTGGAGAAGGAAATGACAAACCACTCCAGTATCTCTGCCAAGAAAACCCCAAATGGGGTCAAAAAGAGTTGGGCACAACTGAAAATGATTGAACAACAAAGCAAAATCTTAGAGATCATCTAATTGAATTCCGAATTTTTGGGTCTTTATGAGTTTCCTCTTGAATACAAGGCCTCAAGTAATAAAGACTAAATATATATTTGTCAGATGAACGATTGCTATTTCTGTTATAACTCTTTTTTTTTTTGGAGGGAGTGAGGTTAAGTGACTTGCCCAGGGTCACACAGCTAGTAAGTGTCAAGTGTCTGAGGTCAAATTTGAACTCAGGTCCTCCTGACTCCAAGGCCAAAGTTCTATCCACTGCACCATCTAGCTGCCCCTCTGTCATAATTCTTACAGCAACTTGCTCATCCATTTTGTATTGTGATTATTTAATGAGAAGACATTCTTTTCATTTGAAGAGTCCGTGGTTTAAATCTTTGTGATCTCAAATATCAATGTATGTTTGAAAAGAGGATTTGATGGAAGTCTATAAATTTCTCCAGGCCCTACCTTGTGCCATCTGTAAGTGGTTTCCTGAATTAGAGGCTCAGACTTTAAAAGAGCAATTCAAGAAAGTATACCTAACCAAGTCAACTCCAATTTCATAGTGATAGGATGGACTCCATCTGCTTAGCCCCAGAAGGCCGAACTGGAAAAAAATTGGGGAAAATTGCAACAAGGCAAATTTATACTTGATGGAAGGAAGATTTTCCTAACAAATACAATAATCCAAAAGTGGAATGGGCATTATTGGGTTGAAGCAGGGTCCCTCTTACCATGTCTTCAAGCAAAGCCTGAATGACCACTCTTAGGTCATGTCCTAGAAGGGATTCAGGTATAGGATGGACTAGGTAACTACTGAGATCCTTTCTAACTCAGTGTCATATAGGCTCTAGTCTTGTCATTTTCCAGATAAGGAAACTGAGGCTCAGACAAGTTGTGACTTGCCCAGGGTCCTACATCTGGAAAATGTCACAGTGAGACTTGAATTCCAATCTTGCCAGCTACTGTTGTTTGCACAATTCCGCCTGTCCATCATGCCTCTCTTTCATGATGTAAAAGCATGGAGCAGAATTATAGAAATAGATATTTCAAAGATCTAACTTTTTTTTTTAAATTTGGAAATTGTTTTTCTTGAGAGCAAATTTTAAAAATATACTTTTTGAAGTCTTAAAAAGTTCCAAAAGTATTTCCTTCCCTAGTTTCCTTCAGGACTTAGCTCAAGTGTTATATTTTATGTGAAATCTTTTCTGATCATTCCTTATTCCTTCCCTAACTAGATCTCTGTAGTTTTTTATTTTCCACATAGCTTTTATCTACACAGTTGTCTCCCCCTGTACAACATAGAATCCTTGAAGACAAGAGCTCACTTCTGTCTTTGTTTTCATAGTGCCTAACTCAGTGCCCAGTACATAATAGTTACTTAAGAAATATTTGTGGATTGATTGAAGATGGCATTGGAGAAATAACCACCACTAAAGTTAAAACTGATTTGGGAGAGGCATGAAGGGATGAATAGTTACCATTAGTTACATGAACATTTCTAATTTCTGTTTTCAGAAAAAGGATTTTAACTGCTCCTGGAAAACAAAGTGCCCAGAAGGCAACCTCAGTTCTGTGCAGATGCAAGGAGATGGAGATTTCTTCATCAACCACCTCGGAACTCCCAGCCTGCAGGTTGTCTACGAGGACCTCAAAGCATTAGAGGTGATTGTTGCTGAGCATTCAGAACAAGACATTCTAAGCAGCGTGCAGAATGTAATTTTATCCCTCCTCCTCTTTCCTCTTACCAAATAGGTCACTGTAGAGGCTTATTCACTTAGTGAATTATTCTAGGCATCCAGAGGCTGGGTACAGTATTTGAAAACATCAGCTCTTTTCAGTGGTATTGTATTCAATTTAAAAAGATTTATCCTGTCACTCACATTATCGTAGAGCCCATCACAACAAGAAATTTGCAGAAGTTGGATTAACATCAAAACGTAATTGTGATCTTCAGCATTCACAGAAACAGATGACATGTGCACTAGATTCTCCTCACTGAGCCCCAGAGAAAATGTCTTTTGCGTGTTGTATATTAATGTAACTCTTGTGGATTAGCTACACAAAGTTTGTAAATTGCCTACCACTTCAAAAGATAGCTCTTTGCAATGACCACATTCTTTCTACGAATTCATGATGCACCTTAATAAATCTATAAGTTATAGCAGAGCATGCTGTGAGAAGGCTTATCCCTCACCATTATAATGGGCTCCCAAGCTTATTGCCTTTGTCGGAATGGAGGGGATGAGAAAGGATCTTAAGACTGAATCTGAGGTAAGTGTTTATACAGCTATACTCATCTGCGTCCTTTCTCTCATGCGTACAGAATTCAACTATGCGTTTTTGGTGGGTTATTAGAAGATCACTGAATTTTTTTTTACCATCCCGTAATTATTAGCCTAACTTGGTCTGCATAATTTCTCCATTAAATTACATTTTTCCAAAGCCAATCATGGTCTTCTGATTGACTTTGGATTTTATATAAGCTTTATCAGATGGCCCAGTAGATAGATTGTTAGACTTGTAGTCATGAAGAACTGAGTTTGAATCCTACTTCTGACAGTGGCAAGCAACTTAACTGTTTTCAGCCTCAGTTTCCTTGTCTGTAAAATAGGTATAAAAGCATCCCCCTCAAAATTGTTGTGAGTGTCAAATGATATAAGCACATGTGAAATGCTTTGCCAACCTTAAAGCATGCTATAAAATGTTAGCTATCGTTCTTACTCTCATTTCTGATAAATTGCATATTGGTGGTGATTCCTTATTTTTAGTTGACTTTCACTGCTCCTACCTTCTAGTCCTCCTGTAAAGCAAAAACTTATGCTTAAATGAGGTGAGGAGAAAGACCATTTCTGCAATAGGGGATGATATCTAATGCAAAGGAAGTGATTGGAAATGAAGAATCAAAAACCCGGGAAAACTTACATAAACTCATGCCAAGTGAAAGGAGTAGAGCCAGGACAACGTCGTACACAGTAACAGCAATATTTTAATGATGATCAACTGTAAAAGATTTAGCTGCTCTGATCAAGACAATAATCTAAAACAATTCCAATTTGCGTATCAGTTCATACAACTTTTACCCAGGCTTCTCTAGAACCAAATCTTCATCATTTTTTAGAGTACAAAAGCAGTACTTCATTACATTCATATAGTATAATTTGTTCAGCCATCCCCAAGTGATGGGCACCCCCTTGGTTTCCAATTCTTTGCCCCCCCCACACACAAAGAGCTGCTATAATATTTTGTACTTAAGGAACTGTTTCTTCTTTCTTTAATCTCTTTGGGAATATAGGCCTAATTAAGGGAATATAGGCCTAATTAAGTCAAAAGGGATGAAAAGTTTAGTAACTTTTGAATCATAGTTCTAACTTGCTTTCTATAATGTCTGGAATAATTCACAGCTCTGCCAATAATACATTAAAAAGTCCATTTCCCCCCAACCCAACAATTATCATTTTCCTTTTTTGTTATCTTTGTTAATCTGATGAGTGTGAGATGGAACTTCAGAGTGTTATTAATTTGAATTTCTCTAATTATTAATGTTTTGGAGCATTTTTTTTTCATGTGACTATTGGCAGCTTGACTTTCTGCTCTAGAAAATTTCCCATTTATATCTTTTTATTATAAATCAGTTAAGAAATGGCTCTCTTATAATTTTGAATCAAGAACTTTATTATATATGTTTGGAAATCTATTTGCCCCTCCCTCCCATTATCTATTTTCTTTCTAATTTTAGTATAGTGATCTTGTTTGTGAAAGATCTTTTTAATTTTATATCATCAAAATTATCTCCTTTGTCTTATGTGACCTCTCTATCCTTCCTTTAGCCTTAAAGTCTTACCTGATCATAAATGTGAAAGGTGATTTTTTTTTCCTCCTTCCTCCTTTACTCTATTTATGATGTTACTGTTAATGTTTGATTATATATCTAGTTGGATCTTATTTTGTTATTTGGTGTAAGAGATTAGTTTAGAAGTAATTTTTGCTAAACTGCTTTCCACTTTTCCCAGTATTTTTTAAAATTGATTACTGAATTTTACCTCAATAGTTGATATCTTTGAGTTTATCAAACATTAAGCAACGGTGCTTCTTTGTTTCTATGTATTATATATGTAGTCTGTTTCACAAATTTACCTTTTTATTAACCAGCACTAAATGGTTTTGATGATTACTGTTTTGTAGTATGCATTGAGAATTGATATTGCCAAGACGCCTTCCTTACCATTTAAAAAAAATCATTTTCCATGAGATTCATGAACTTTTGTTCCACCAGATGAATTTCATTATTTTTTGCTCTATGAAGTAGTGCTTTGGTAGCTTCATTGGTATAGCAATGAATAAATAAGTTCATTGTAAGTATTGTTACTTTTATTATATTGATTTGGGCTATCCATGTACAATGAATATTTATGCAATTTCTTAAGTCAGTTTTTATTTCTATAAAGAGTATACTTATACTTGGCTACTTTTTATATGTGCTTTACCAGGTAGATTCTCAAGCATTTTATGCATTCTGATGGTCTTTATTTTTTCTTTTTTAATATATTTTTTCTCTGGGTTCTATATTTTGTCAGCAATATACAGAAATGCTAATTGTTTATGTGGATTTTTTATATCTTATAACTTTGTTGAAGTTATTGTTTCAATTAATTTTTGGTTTATCTCCTAGGGTTCTCTAAGTAAACCATCATATAACCTAATAAAAAAGTTTATTCCCATTATGTATAATGCTGGCTTTTGACTTTAAATAGATGCCATATGCTGTATTTAGGAAAGATCTATTTATTTTCATGTTTTTAATAGAAGCAAATGTTTTATCTTATCAAAAGATTTTTCTGCAACTATTCATATAGTCATGATTTTTGTTATTCTTCTGTTTTGATGGTTTTTCTTCATATTGAGTTAATTCTGCTTTCTGGGTATGCATCCAACCTGATCATAGCATGTAATCATTATAGTATGTAGCCATAGTCTCCTTGCGAATACTTGACATTTTTCATTCATATTTATTAGGGATGTTGATGTATAATTTTATTTCGCCATTTTGACTCCTCCTAGTTTAAGTATCAATACTGTATTTATAAACCTAAATAGAATCTCCTTTTGTTCTGTTTTTTTTTTTCTCTAAAAGCTTGGGTAATAATTAAGTTAATCATTATCTTTTTATGTTCCTTTATGATCCTTAATGATATTAGAATTCTAAGGAGACACCTGTATCATGTGACCTGATTATTTAGCTTTTTATATATCTTATTTTTTGAAGTTTCTACTTATCTTTCTCTCTTCACAAGGATTGCTTAGAAGTCCTCCATTTCATGAAAGTCCTTCTTAGAAGTCCTGGGCTGAGAAACAAATGAGTCACTGTGACTTTTCCTTGGATTTTTGCAATCAGGCTCAGTATGGTGGATTTTCTAAATCGTTGTTGGATTAGTTATAGGAAAACTGGCTTGTATTGCCTCTTCCTACTCTATCATCCTGAGTAGTAATGATCTCCTGAGTAGTAATGTTTAAGAATATATAAAAGGGAAGAGGAGACAAAGATTTCAATTTGTTTTCTCTGTTGAACAGGGATGATAATATTGATAGCACTCACCTCTTAGGATGGTTGTGAAGGCCAAAAAAACATTACTTAGGCAAAACACTTTGCAAATGTCAGCTACTACTCTATGAATTCTACAAGAAGTCCTTCCATGTGAATTCCTCCTTACAGCACGCTGAGTCCAATCTTTTACCTTGTGTCTGCTTCTTCCTTGGGGGAATCTGTAAAAGAAGGAATTTGTCTCACAAAGCAAGAAGGACGAGGAAGCTAATCAAGCTTTATTTGCCAAACCTCTCAAAAGAAGAATATTACTATTTCAGTATGTGGCCAGCAAATCTACTTAACCTTTGCTTTGTGTCTCAACCTTTAAGGGAAATTATCAGTGATTATAAAACATTGAACAGCTTGTTCCATGAAGTCTGAATTACTTATGTAAAACCATTTATCAAAGTAGATTAGAAAATTATGATCTCTTCCTCTCCTCCTGAAACACCCCCACCTCCGTCTTATACTGCCTAGATTTTTTTAAAGAAAGAAACAAAATTAAGTAATTTATACACGTGAAATGACTGGGGACATCTTGCCTCCAATGCCCTGCTGTGCTCTACATGTAAGCTCTCTGATGCAAGTTAAAGTGTTTCAAATATAGAGCAAATGCAATCCTACCAGCTCCAGAAATGATTTTTCTATACTGCCATACTATTAGATCGAAAAGTTATTTTGATTCAAATCACAACATTTCAGGAGATTTAATATCAATCTGCAGTATGTTCTATTATCTACAGATCTGCTACCAACTTTCTCCAATCATTTTTTTTTCAGCTACATATAAATTGAATAAGAGAAGAAGTCTGGATGCCTTCTCGTAGCTTTTCTTGGCATCTGCACTGCTAATTCTCCAATAATTAAATTTCACAAATGCAAAGCAATCTATGGATCTGCCAAATGTTAAAATGATTCCTCCTCTTAAGATATTGCCCTGTTAATTGAAACATCTCTGGTTTCGAGCTGTATTTAAATAAGAAGGTTTTCAATTTGTAAACACTGTTGCACCTGTTAGGAGAAGCATTCTGTTTCCGATTAAATACAATGCAGAAGATGGCTGTTAAAGAAATGAAAAAAC